TTTATTAGTTAATTGTGAATAAAAACTAAACAAAGGTGAGTTAAATACCAATTAATTACTTAAAAGAAAAAAAAATAGTATTGAAGAACAGACGGAAAATAAAGCTTTAATCTTGGCAATTAAATCTTGTGCTAGGGCAACTAATTTAGCTTCTTCTACTTCATCTATGAAGACTCCTACATGACGTACTATACGCTGTTTGACGTTACCTTTACTATCACGATAACCTTCTACTATTTGAATAGATTGCCTTGGACTATTAGGAGTTTTTTTACGACGTATGTACATATTAGACCTATAAAATATGGTGCTATATTTTCAATTAATTAAATAATAACAACATTGCAGTTAAAGTCAATAACAAAATATTTACTAGGCACAACAAAACAAAAGTACCACTTCACCTTCTTACTAATGACACTTATGACAACTAAAATCAAAAAATCTGCAGAAGTCAGGAAGAAATATGTATTTCAAATTGCTCTGTCATATTACCTCTACAAGTCATATTTGGAATTGCTGCAAATAATAGGAAGCAATGATAATATATCTACCTTCGAGAATTTTAAATTGCTAATGGCATCATAATGTGTGAAATCTTAGGTTTGAGTGAAAATCCTAGACTTGATTTATAAATGCGACAAAACCCTTTTTCTTACTAGTTGTAATCAGAGCTTTTTTATACCATCTCTCAAATCATTTACAAAAATCATCGACAAAACAAAATAATCTATCATAATCTATATTCATTAGGGTATTCTTTTTATAAAAAATTCTAAAATACCCTAATATTTACGCTAATTCATCTCCTTTCTTAAACACAGTTGGGGTTAAATATACAGATATGCCTAAAAGAAAATCTAATGAATTGGAATATAATAGTAATCCAGAGTGTATAGCTTCATTAAATCCTGAGAAAAAGATTAAGTATAATAAGAATAATATTGAAAAAATACTTTATGAATCTACTAACAAAAATATAGAAGTATTTTTAAGCTATTCAAATAAACAAAAGCTGGGTATAACTCATAATTCTGCAACAGATGAGTTAATTGAGCGAATACAGCTATATTTATCAGAAAAAAAGGAAGATGTACAACATTATTTAGTTTTATACCTTAATACAGAAGAGTTAGCTGATATAGCATATTTAGGACATTTGCATTATAGTGATATTTATCAGAATTGGAAATTAGATATAATACCTCTGGTTAATTATAAGAAGATAAAACAAATAGAACTTGATATAGAACGTAATCTGGATGCAATAGATGTAGGTATTCCTGGGGCTAAGATATATAATGATTTAAATATTATCGGAAAGCATGTGGAACAGGTTATAGAATATGCAAAGTTGAGGATAGGATATTTAAAACTTAATAAGAGTAATTTTCAACAATATAAATTAGAATTTGATTCTATTGAATTATCGGAATCTAGTATTTCAGAAGCTCATAGAAAAATACTAGAACAATCATCAAATGATAATAATAAATATCTTGAGGTAGTTGAACTAGATACTTTAGAAGTTTCTGATAGCACTCTATGTCTTTCTGGGAAGAGTGAAGATTATGATTTGTAAGACACATGTTTAAGGGTATGAATAATAAACTAACAACACAACATCCAATTTTAGTAGCAATAAAAACAAAAGGAGTTAATTCATTAAGATAGGATGTTACAGTTTCTTTACAAGATGATGGTAAGTTAAAAATTGAAGTTTTAATGTTATCTAGAACTGGCAACAGTGGAGCACAAAACAATCATGTTATACCTGTTGCACTTTTTCTTTCCTCTATTAAATACAACTTAGAACGTCAAACAGATTCATCCACCCTCTTTAGTAATTTATGTTACTTGTATGGTTTAGGTAATATAAATTATGATAATTTTGTAATAGTACGAGACTATTATAAACAACATTTATCAGGAACAATTACGAGAAGCGGGATAGATACACTGAGGATTATCTTGCAAGACTATATAGTACCACTTATTTATGATAGTTGGAACTCAAGGGATGGATCTGTCTTTAAAGAACCAAGGACTCGATCAGAATCAGGGATAGAAGGTAACAAGATCAAAACACATAACACACAATTTGCTGAATTATATAATAATAACAAAGAATTAGACAGTTTTAATGATTTTAAAACAGAAATACAAGATTTTATACAAAAATATAATAAAAACATTGATATACCAAATAATATTACTCCTCAAGACCTTCCTAAAATAATTATAAATGCCAGAAATTATCTAGAAGTTTTACTGAATGTTATTGAAAATTCTGACAATAACGCTTTTTTATGTGGTGAGTATGATGGTGTGACATTACTCAAACCAGAAGTAGAAAAAATGTGTTACAATTAGACAAGTTTGGTTGGGAGTTTATTAATGTACATGATAAACTCAAACAAAAACAACCATTTCTTAATGAATGGGAAACATATCTGCAAAAGTATCCACTAACAAGCTCTGATACAGGAACATTGACAGAGACATTGACAGAGTCAGATGACCATATAGATTTTGCAAGTCCTCCTAGAGGAAATAGAGATAGAAAAATAGAATATAATTCTAAGATTATCCAGCAAATACTAGCTACTAGCACAGCAACTACAATAGAGGTAATTTTAGATACTACTACAACTGCACAATGTCAAGATCAACAACATATATCAGGAATAGATAAACTTATTGAAAAAATACAGCAACATATTGATAAACCAGATAAAGGTGTACACTATTATCTAGTTATTAATTGTATTAGCTCATCATTAGTTGATAATGCATGTTTAGCAAAGTTAAGCGATAGTAATCCAGTGCAAGAGTGGAAACTAGATTTAGTACCCCTAGTTAATTATAATAATGTAAAAAAAATAGAACGTGATATAGAATATGGTCTGGAAACAATAGATGTAACTGTTCCTGGGGCAATACGATATAATAACTTAGGCATAACTAGGGCACGAGTTGAACAGATTGTAGAATATGTAAAATTAAGGATAAAAGACTACCAGATATTAAACAGTAATAATTTTGCACAATACAAGTTAGAACTAGATGCCATTACCAATGCTCAACCCAATACTTATAAAGATCAACATTATCGAGATAGTGAAGTAAATATTCGAAATCTGTTACTAGGTCCAGAACACTTATCAGATCACTGTAACAGCACAGCGGTTATGGCACTGAGCTTTCATGATAAAGGATTCTTGGTTGCAGCTTGATTCCTGCACAGCTTTAGATTGATGGGTACCAGATTGTTTTGGATGTAAAGATTGCTGGTGCACAATGCTGATCATATTGTTCTCGTTATGCAATTCTCATAATTGTGGAGCTTCAGCCTTTAAGCACCCTTGGCTGACAAAGGCTGTTTTGAGAGAGAGCATTTTACCTTTTTTTTCTGCCATATGTTTTTTATTTCTAATTTTGAAACAATTATTTTTTTCACAGTGATTAAATGGAAATAAATCATTTCTATGCCACTAAACTTTTTTAAAATGATTGTAATTTTTAAAAAATTAAATTTATGGAAGCTTATTTATTGCTTTAAAACTATGAGTTTGCTTTCCCTTTAACTTCTATAAGCAGTGATTTTTGATATTTTTTTCTTCTGTTTCTTGCTTTTTCTTTTACTTAACAATTTTTGTTTTCTTTTTTTCTATAAATAATTGTTTTTTATCTACTTTTTTAATTATAGCAAAGCATTTTTTTCCAGTAAATTCTGTTATATGAAGGAATGAGAATTGCAGCATTAAATAGTAAAAACAGATGGTTATCAAGTTAAATGCTTTTGTGTTCCTTTCTTCTTTTTTCCCTTCTACTTCGCAATTTGTTTTTATCTATTTATTTTTTAATAAATGTGCTATGGTTTTCCTCCCTTTATTATTATTTTTCCTAATTGGCAATTGCCATAATTTTTTGCTTCTTGTAATGGTGTAGCATGTTTTCTGAAAATTAAGGCAATGTTGAAAATCTAGATTTTTGGCATTCCAGCATTCTGGAATTTTTACATAAATGCAATTTGCTAATTCTTGTGCATTCCAAATAGTCTGACGTTTACTGTTTTTTTTAAATTTTTTCAGCGTGCTTCATCCACAATATTTGCAACTTTTTCTCTCTAATCTAAATCTATTGCAAATTTTATATATATCTTTCTATTTGTATATTAAGGTATAGAATTTAAAAATTTCTATAATCCCTTCCACATCAGTTAAAAATAAGGGTCTACTAAATTTATATATTTCTAAGACTCAGAACTTTTAAGAGGTAATTTTCATGGAATTTGTAATAGTGTAACAGCTTTTTTCTTTTAAAAAATTGTATGTTTAAAATTAAGTATTTTTAATTTATTTTTGTCTAATAATAATTTACTAGGGGGCTCCGCCCCCTGCTCGCTACGCTCGCCAACCCCCAGAACTGCTTCGCAGTTCCATTGCATATTGCTTCGCAATCTTATAAAAACATTTTAACAAATTTAAATTTTAAAATAAAATTGCCAGATATTGAAATCAATTACTTAATGAAATTTTTACACTTCTCTGCCCCCTTCACAATTTGATTATCTTTTCTTCATGTAGCTGAGAAATTTGGAGCTGTAGCAGAGAATATATCTCAATAAGAAATGCTTTCCCGTTTAGAATTCCGCCATTCATTTCTCTGACGTCTGCCAGAGATATTTCGACGCCTGATAGCAGGCATTTTATTTAGGCAGCAGGCACTAAATAAATAAAAATAGAACTAAATAACTAAGATATCGTTTTAAATCTCAAATCAAAATAATTGTTTGTAGAAAGTTTGTTTTGGTTTGAATATTCGCACGTTTGTTTTGGTTTGAATATTCGCACGATGCCATTGCCATTCTATTGTAACGAAACAAAAAATTTATCATGAAACTAAAAATTTATCAAAGGAACTAAANAATAACTAGGGGGCTCCGCCCCCTGCTCGCTACGCTCGCCAACCCCCAGAACTGCTTCGCAGTTCCATTGCATATTGCTTCGCAATCTTATAAAAACATTTTAACAAATTTAAATTTTAAAATAAAAATGCCAGATATTGAAATCAATTACTTAATGAAATTTATACACTTCTCTGCCCCCTTCACAATTTGATTATCTTTTCTTCATGTAGCTGAGAAATTTGGAGCTGTAGCAGAGAATATATCTCAATAAGAAATGCTTTCCCGTTTAGAATTCCGCCATTCATTTCTCTGACGTCTGCCAGAGATATTTCGACGCCTGATAGCAGGCATTTTATTTAGGCAGCAGGCACTAAATAAATAAAAATAGAACTAAATAACTAAGATATCGTTTTAAATCTCAAATCAAAATAATTGTTTGTAGAAAGTTTGTTTTGGTTTGAATATTCGCACGTTTGTTTTGGTTTGAATATTCGCACGATGCCATTGCCATTCTATTGTAACGAAACAAAAAATTTATCATGAAACTAAAAATTTATCAAAGGAACTAAAGATATTGAATTCTTTTTTTAAGAAATTCAGTTCCGTTTTTTTTATCCACTCTTATTTTTGTTTATCAATCTATTAATTCAGAAATGCTTTAAATCAAACGATGCTTACGGAAACAATGCTTATGCGAACCACCCGAAAAATGATTTGCTGAATTCTCATTGGTTGAAACTAAATTATTAATTTTATTAATTAATTAAAGGAAATTTTCATAATTTAAGACCTTATTGCACATCTACATAATAATACCTTTAAAACGACACCTTATTTGTTTAATTCTGTTGCGTAGTTTGGGAGTTTTTAGCGAGACAAAATATTGCTAGCCTATTAATATATAGATGTGGTCTAAAGTATGGTGTTTACTTTTAATGCAGAGACAATCATACAAGTTTAAATAGCACCACATACCAGTATCATATTAAAATATGCCTTTTATCACATTTTGAAAATGCCATATAATTTGCATCAATAGGATAGGCAGATTTTTAAAAAGATAAATTTCCCCTAAATAATTGGTGTCAGTTATTTTTCAGGCATTGCAGTTATATGTCACCTGGGATTTTTACCTCATCACTAAAAGTATTTCTAAAATGTATAAGTATGATGTTACTGAACTTGTACCCTTATAGTTTTTAGTGAAATTTCATATACCAGTGTTAATCATGATTTTCATAATGGTTCATATGTAATAAAATTTTTAAAAATTTATAAAAAAATTCTTTATGAAAATTTTGTGTTAATCAGTGTGATTACTCTGAAATATCAGAACAGTATTATAGTACATTTTAATTTTCTTAGAGTTTAAGTTATGATCACTACTTTGGGGATCAGATTAGTTGCTTCTAAATACTTGGTTGAATTTATATGTTTGCATTCTGTGTTGTAATTCAATTTTGAACTTAATGTTGCAAAATCCAACTTTCTTTGATTGGATTTATGCAGCTTTGCTGAAGAATATTCTCTTACTAATTAATAAATATTATTGTAATTTGATTTTCTTGCCATTTTTCTTATAGCCCGTGCTGCTCGTTGTTCTAATGTTGTCAAAGAAGTTGATAAGATTAAGAAGCAGCGAGAAGAAAGACGGGCTCGGCAAGCAGAAAGAAAAGCTGAACAGTAAGGAGATCCTGGGAACCCTAATTATGAATTTCTGAGTATGATCAAGTAAGTGACTTTTATATGAGTGATTATGCTTCTTCAAAGTTAAATGCATTTATCACATTAATGCCCCAAATACAAAAAAATCCAGATTGAAAAGTAATGTTTAGAAAAGTTTGAATGTTACCAATATTTCATTTTGGCTATGTTTCCAATAGTTTATAAATAAGCTGTACTACAATATTCATTAAATACATAATTCATTTAATTTTGCTCTTTACAGAAAAATGAAAAATTGGAACTTAACAGTTAGTAAAAATTTAGATTGAAAGAAGTGCAAGTAGCATAGCTGCCAACTCACTGGATTTACCAGTAGACTACTGGATTTTGCCAGTTTCTCCTGATCTACTGGTTTAATAAAAGTTCTCCTGGTTTTTGTATGTTTTAGAATTATCCCTAAAATTGCATAAGTTTGCTAAAAAGAAAAAAAAATTCCTATTGAAATCGAATTTTTACACAGTTTATTGCTTACTTAAATATGTAATAAATATTACTAATACACATTAAAGCAAGCCTCAATTATAGTGATCAGTTTAAAGCTTTTCTTTTTTTTTCCCCTGAAATTTTCAGTTTATTTCAATTTAGAACTCTCTTTTTAAATTAATTAAAAAGTATTTTTAACTATCAGTACGAAATTACTTGTCTTTTACTATTCAATTTTATGAATTAACATAATAAAAAGCATTTCAAGTTCATTTAATGTCAATTATAAATAGGAAATATTACCAGACTATTTATAGTTATCAGCTTAATAAAGTTTTTGTGTTTTGATTACAATAAAATTCTCTGCAATTCCCTATATGTAAAATATTCAGTATATTTTGCAACAGTTGTCATGAAATTTTTATTTCGTAAAGTCTACTGGATTTTTTCCTATCCATGTTGGCAGCCATGCAGTGGAATTCCATATTTTTCCAAATCTAGCTCATTAGTTGTTTAAATTTTCCTGTTTAAAAGTTAAGTTATTGAAAAAACGTCTTAACTGTTTAAAATCTAAATTGCCATTATAGTGGTTTAGTTATTATTATTTTTAACTTAAAATGTATTCAATATTTAAAGTAAATTTCTTTATATTTTAGAGATTATTGTAGCCAACTTGACTACAAACCAATCAATATAACTGATCCAATACATTCTCTTCAAATATGTGTCGCAGTTAGAAAAAGGCCTATGAACAAAAAAGGTAACTATGTAGTATCTTTTTAAATTTTTTTGTTAAAACAAGATGTGGATACTGCTTGCATGGTAAACTATGACCTGTACTGTATATGTATATACATGTATTAACTATGACCTGTACTATGTATGTATATACATATATTTTTTAATTAAATGGTTAAAGTTTTAAAGCATCTTTAGTATTTCAGTTTCTTACAAGTTAATTACATTTAAAATATATGTTATCCTATCCTTTTATTGTTGGTATTTAAGCTTTGGCTTATCTGTAGTTTCTACTGTAAAAAATCTGTGTGGCATAATACTTATGTAACGAGCAGTCTTGCTCCTCGCTCTACGTGATTTGCATCCAGCATTTTAAATTTAAAAACGTCGTAGGGGAAGCGTACAACTAATCTTTCAAATGGGACGACAAACAGATCTGATTGAATTCTGCACTTTTTAAGAGTTTGGGAATGTGAAAGAAATAGAGAGCATAAGCAAAATAAACTTTTAGAAGATATCAGTATCAATATCTGTTAAATATATTGATATCTTCAGGCTTTTCAAATTACTACCTCAGCATTTTCTATCTTATTTTAAGGAAGTGGAGCTTATTTAAAGTTTTTCCCCTTTCAATATAATTCTCTTTTTTAGTCATTTATTTGCAAAATCTGATTTTATAAAACGAAAGTGATACTTTTTTTTTCTTCTCCATTTTATTTTGCATTAAGCTTAGATTATAATGCCATTTGATTTTCAAACCTTGGTTTATGTTTTGTGCTGTATTGAAAATTTGTTAAAATCTACTTATAGTCAGTCCTAATTTTTAAATTAGAATATTAACTACTATGAACTTATTATTGCTTATGAAATAACTGTGTATAGCTAGTTAACTATTTAAAACTCTTTGTAATGAGTTTGTATTTATAAATAGTGTGGACGAAACTATTTTGTGATTAATTTTCTGTAGGTAAGAGGGTAATTAAATCATATCTCATAGTTTTCCAAACTGATAGAGAGGTCTCTAAGTAAATTATGTTATTTGCTTTTTTAATGATCTCACAGCATTCTCTAAAAAGTTTTTTTTAAAGACATGATTCATTGATTGATATACTACCCAGAGGATTACATGTTTAATGACTAAACTCAAACTTGTGATTCTCTGTTAGGAAACAGCTACAATTTTAAGAATCCATTCAGTTAGTCTTTAAGTAGAGCCCTGAAAAGTAGATCATATTAACTTTCCAGGATTCGAATGGTGTATATCAATTTATTCCAAAAATAGCAAGTTTTTTTCTTTTTCTTTACTGGAATAAACCATGTTGGAGAAAATTTTTTTTTTCATAATAAAATATCAAATATTTAAAAAAAAAATGAAAACCATTTAAAATTGCTATCTAGTTTTAATAATTTTTAAACTAATTAATATATATTTTTATAATAAAAGTAATTATTAAAAAGAAAATGAATTTAAATTTCTTAAGAAGTTTAAATAATTTAAAAATTAGTATAGTAAAACTTTATTTTATATTATAAAATAACATAGTCAATGCATATTAATACTACTGAATTAACAAATCATATACTAAACATAGTTACAATTGGCATTGAATATTTGTAATCAAATAATAATTTTGTAACAATACTGTTAAGTATTAATATTCAAACTAACTCCTAAATAATACTGAATAAAAAAGAAACCATTTAAAATATTTGCTCCCCCTTGTTTTACTTGTATTTTGCTGTTTCCTAGTGGTTGCAGACATTCATAGAGTACGATTTTTTTAAAAATCTACTGGATTCTTTTATTTATTTTTGTAAGTAATGATTTGACACCACATCTATTGTCTTTCTGTATTAAAAGATTACAAAATACAGTAAAAAGAGAAAAAGTAATTGATGGATTGCTCTGTAAAACCTTTCGGCAGTCGCATGTATTTTTTTTTTCTTTATGAGTCTTCAAAATATTATTTAGATTTAAACCAATGTGAAGTTTGAATTTTCAACTTCATTAAAAAGATATCAGAAAATACAAAATAAAAAAAAATACAATTAAATTATTTTTATAATTGTTTATAAACCCTTGTAATTGTTTTTGAATAAAATTAGTTTATATGTTTTTATTGAACTTTTTCTTTTTATTGTTTCAGAATCAATGAAAAGAGAAGTGGATGTTATTACTGTTCCTAACAAAGAACATATAGTTGTCCATGAGCCTAGAACTAAAGTAGATTTAACCAAATACTTAGAAAACCAGTTATTCAGGTTTGATTATGCATTTGATGAGAATGCAGATAATGAAATTGTATATAGGTGAGAATAGACTTTTTTACATAGATTTTGATTATTATACAATAATTTTATTGATCTGTATTCCAAAGTTAATAATCACTTTTTTCCATTACATTAGGGGTGCACAACCTGCGGCCCACTGGCCAAATGCGGCCCATCGACTGTGATGTGTGGCCCGCGGGAACTTCTGAAAGCAAACAAAACAATTATTTTAGTTTGTTTTTGTTTAAACAATCAGACCAGTCTCCTGCTTTCGCCTCAAATCTTCGCCCTCAGGCCTTCATTGTGTTTTCTCCTGCTTTTTTCTATTTAGTGCACGATAGAGGAAAAAAAACCCAACAATTTGTGTAATTTCCTTCCCAACTTGTGCTTCGGATCATGCTGGGCATTTATTTAGAAAAATTTTCCCCGATAGCAACATCACTAAAAATTACGGTGTGCACGAACCAAAACAACAACAATAACCGATGAAATGGCAAAATCGGAGAGGAAATATATCTTGGACCATTAGGCAAAATGTTTTTTCATTTTCTATAGATGGCAGTTTTTTTTAAATAATGCTAAATCAGCAGCATCTGCAGTTTTAAAACAGTAGCAGTTTAAAAAAAAAAATAAGAAATGCATTTATAAAGTATTGTATTCATTATTGACATATTTTGTTAATTTTGAACCTCTTCCTAAATTTTAAAAAATCAAAACATGTGTTTTAATATAATTCTATAGAACCTTATATTTTATAGTAAGAACACATATCTTTATTAGTCAGTGTCAGAATCTTATGTGGTCTATTTTATGTAATGTAAATAATATATTTTGAAGTAAACTTCTTGTAGGAAATGTGAATCAGGTTTAATTTTCAATATTACGCTATGTCGTGATACAGAATCTCCTGCTTTTTTATTTTCTAAGGTTGGCATGTCTGAACAATATAAATTTTCTTAAATTAAAATAATTAATTCAAATTTATATTACTATAAAATGCCTATATTTTTTGCACTTTCATTCTGTATGCTTCTTTTTGGATAGAATTTATATCCCCCCTAATATTTATGTATATCAATATATATTTGATAAATTAATTATTGTGAAAAAATGAAAAAGTTTTTTCGCTAACATGACCAAATATGCTTGCGGCCCTATGTTAATCTACCCGCTGTGCAAGTGGCCCATCACTCAAAAAGTTTGTGCACCCTTACATTACATTGATGTGCACAGTTAGTCTGAAACTTATTTTAAAGCAAATATAAATAATATTGTGTATAAAATGCTCTCTCTCTCTCTCAGCAAATAACTTTACAAAATTTAATTTTAATTTGATATTTCTTTACTTCTTTTTTATGTACCTTACTTAAATTGAAAGAGATATATCCAGTATTTCAGTATGTTTTATATTTTGATAATTTTTAATAAAGTTTTAAATTTTTTATTTATTTCATCTTGCAACAGAGTTTATTATTGTTATTGAAGTTTGCATTATTTTGGATTTTGAAAATATCAATTCATTTTAACAAATGAAAATGCATTTATCTGTTGGAGAATAAGTGCATAGAACTCAAATAATTTGCCACAATTTGTGTCACCAAGAAAAAAGATACAAATATTTTATTTATTTTGCTTTAAATATTGAGTCTTAATCATTAATATTAAAATTTTAGAATAAAAAACATTAATTTATTTTGATGTCAAAGGAAAATACACTGATAAAAATATACTTGTCTCATATGTCTTATGATATTAGAAAATGTAATTTTATCTTGAGTAATAAAATCCGAATTTTTTAAAATTTTTATGTTACAAATTTTTACCTCAATGTGCAGTATTTCTTTAATTAAATTTTATACATTAATAATCAACATCTCCTCCTCATAAAAAATGTTTTATTCTTATTTTTCTAAGTTTTATCTACAAAAGATAAATTTAAGATAACACACATACTATTATTACATGTAGGGCACATTGTATTATTAGGAAAACAATGCCTTCTCAGAAATTTGATTATTATCATCTTCCTTAATTTATTAATAAAGATTTTTAATTTGAAGATATTTATTCGTTTTATGTTAATGCATGTTAAGAGGAAGTTTTTGAAATCATTTTTTTAATGTTTGTATACCCAGATTAATCACTATTGTGATATCATTATTTAGTTTTATCTGTTACCTTAAGTATGTGTAGTTCAAAATTATCTCAATAGGCAAACTTCTGCTGATCATAGCAGGTCAAAAGGAAATTCTCCATCAGAAATGTAAATCAACACATTTAAGAATAATGTAAATAAGCATCCACTTATGAAGAAATAATGAAATCATAATACAAAGAATTATCAAAAAGGATTTCTTTTAATATAAATTTTTTCTTAAAATTCTGTGAAATTAAGTAACTTGAAAAAAGGAATTCTTTCTCCACTTGATTATTCTTTTAACAAAAAAAAAAAAATATTTATGAGCTCACAAAAAAACATTCATTTTGAATATTTAGTAAATTGATTTAATTACTCTAGAGAAAATAGTTCATCCAGTTTTAAGTGATTTTTTACAGAATATATTCAACTTATTTATCTATGCACTTTGAAATAGAAAATCTGTTAGTGAATTTTCAAAATACTTTTAAGTGTAATCATAGTTTCAAAATTAACAAAACTTGAAAATTATTTCATTTCCAGACTAAATTATTGGTTTGTCGATTAACATATTATTTTCACTTTATTGATTTCTTTTTCTATTCAGTTTTATATATGTTAATGGTTCTATCATTTTTAAATCAAGTTATAAGTATTCAGCGAAATAATGTATTTTAACAGGTTTACTGCAAGACCATTGGTTTACTGGTAGCCGAACCTGCACCCAGCTGTACTCTATGTCAAGTTGACGTTTCAATTAAACACATATTAACTAACTGCAGACGATTCAAATATTTGAGGAAGAAACTTTTCGGCAGATTTTATCCCAATCTTTCATCCCTACTTAGTGACCCTATACATCACAATTTAATCAAGTTCATCAAAACAATAGGACTGTATTCACTAATATAAGAAAAAGTGCTATTCTTTTACCTAGAGACTGGCGCAGTATAGCCACTTCTGGCTCTTGTGCCATTAAACTTTAACTAACCAACCAACCAGCAAGACCATTGGTCCAAACTCTTTTTGAAGGTGGAATGGCTACTTGCTTTGCGTATGGTCAAACTGGTAGTGGAAAAACTCATGTAAGACAAGCCTCAGTTCTTTCTTGAGAGTTTTTATATTTATCTTGAAAAAATCTTTTAATAAAAATGTATGCTTCAAATTTTTTCTTTCTTTTTGGCAAATGAATGTTTTTTCCAGTTTAAACTAAGTTTTTAACTGTGATGTCAAAACCTCCTTTTTGACAATTGTCGAACTCCCAAAATTTTGGGCCGAAAGTAATTATGAAATAAAGTAAATATAAAGTAATAATAAATAAAAGTATATAAAAATTACATGTGATCGATTATGTTCTTTAATCATTTAGACAGTAAACCACCTTTTTTCGACAATTACTCTTTAAAAGCCAAAGTTTTGATGTAGAAATTCATTATTTATTATAAATATTAAGTAAATATAAATAAACATATGTAAAATTGCAATTTTTCTGACTTGTTTGTTTCTTTAAATATTAAAAACAATCTTATAAAAAAAAACTTCTTCCATTATGTGTGCATTTAATTTTCTTTTTACTCTTTTTAACTCCTCTTTACCTCAGGCATACAATTACAAAACATAAGTTTTAAGGCCCTCTATATTAATTGATTTTTCAGTTTGAATGAAAAAGACTAAAATTTGAAATTTTTTGATTGATGCTGAGCTACATGAACTAGATTCTAGATGTGTGAAAACTGTTATATATTCTAAAATTAACATTTTGTTCATATATTACGAAATTTATTCTAAAAATGTATTAAATGTTGATAACATAATTAAATATTTCAATTGATTGGTCAAAAAAAATAATAACTGATTGAAACAAGCATTTATCTTTTTTGCAAATTATAATTAGTTTATTTATCAAGGAATATATTGTAATCATGATTTATAAATTATGTTTGTATATAATGGGAAAATAAATAAATGGAACACTAACTTTTGATCTAATCACATGTTCATATTCTCGGACTTGATCTTAATGGTTCATGGTGGTGACCTCAGTATACTAATTAATAAATGCGGATGATATTTTAAGTTGCAAAATAAGACACAAAAATGTACTTTCTCTGAATAAACTTTTTTTTTTGCAATGAATTATGATTCCAAACTCCAAAAATTACTCCAGTGATGCATGTGCTATCAACAATATTTCTTGTAAAAATAGCAAATTTCAGCCTTCTTCATTGTAAACATGGACAGGAGTCAAAAAGTCAAACTAGAAAAGCGAATTAGTGATTGAAGGATGTATTCATACAATTCTGCATTAGAAATCTAAAATATTTTTTTAATCTATCTGTTAATTAAATTTGCAAAAATGATTATTTTTAAAAAAAAAAAAATAAAGCTTAATTTTTAAAGTTGAAATTTTCAAATACAGGGTTATTCATAATTCCCTTTGTTTACTACAACTTGCTTCAGTGGTACATGTTACTTCCATCTACCAGCAACTGCTTAAATTAAACTTGAATACTTTTGGAATAATTTCATATGTTCTTTTTTGCCATATTCGTCTTCGTTTTTTTACTATAACGCTTCGAAACCCCAGAGGGAATTATGAATAGCCCTGTATTATGTTTAGAATTTTGTTTGTTGAAAATATGAAATTAATATTAATAATTATTTCTTTCTTTTTAGACAATGGCTGGAGATTTCATTACAAAATCTTCACAAGATTGCAGCAAAGGAATATATGCTTTATCCAGTATGTATTTTCTTACTGTTAATTTGTGCTTATGCTTAATATGTATTCATTTGTATACAGTGTGTACTCTCTTACAACGAACAAGAAGGAGCAGCAGCATTTGCTCATTATGACTGAGTGCTTGCATGAAATAGTTTTGTAAAAAATAATAACAAGTTTATATATACTTATTATTATACTTATGTAATGTATGAAATATTAATTTATATACTTAAATAAATTATTAATAAAATGTCTACTTTATTTATTTATTTATTTTTTGTTTCTGTATAATTTAAAAGAGGATAGTTAATTTACTTTAAACTGTCTTATTGTATCCTTGGTGTGTTATTGTTCTTGTATAAGACTCAAGTTACGAAAAACATAATTTACACTCCTTTCTTCGTTAAAAGTTTATTGGTCTGCTGGAATTATGACTCAGACTAACATTAAAGAGATTTCAGAATGTTAAATAAATTTTTCCAATTTGCTGAACTGAAGAGGTGGAAGTACATAGCAATTTTGTAAATCACAAAAATATTGCTCACTAAAACAAGAGTTTGCTTGTTAAAAACGAGCTAGTCTCTAATAGACTTAACATTGTACCAACTAAATATTTTCAAGTTATTCATTAAATCGGAGCTTATGAATGAATTCGGTGGTATTAAACATTTTGCATAAATTAAAAGTTTTTTTATTATGTAATCTTAAATTATCTTTATAGTATTTTAAAATTTACCACTTATATTTTTTCTTTCTTTTTTAACTAAGCATTATGAACATCCTAGAAATTTTTTAATGATGAAAATCTAAGCTAAAAAAAAGTTCTTCAACCTTTTTGATGCATAAATTATTTCTTTTAATTTTATGATAAATTATCTGCAAGTTGGATATAATAAGCTTCTCTCTGAAAAGGGTTGATTGTCTTTTTTATTCAAGAAATTTCAGATATGATCAGTTTAATCTTCCTTTTCCTCATGTGTCAAAATTTGTTTAAAACACCATGGTATACATAATATTCCAGATTTCTACGTATGTTCAGAACATACTCTTTTTTAAAAATACAAATACTAATTTCAAAACATTCAATTTGTTGAATGGAAAGATTGCATTTTAGATCTAGCATCATTTTAATTTGATTAATGATGCTAGTAAAGAGCCCAAAATTCAATTGTTCAAATTTAGTAAGCAGGTTCAGGTGCCTGAGATTCTCCAACCCGCAAAATTCGTTTCTTAATAAATTTTTGAAAATTTCTTCATTTTAATAAAAAAAGAAAAGTAACATTATCAGATTTTTATGATGATGAATTCAGGAGCCTTAACATCTATTTTTTTCAGCAAATGCAGTTACAAATCTTGTAAGGTAGAGTTGTTTAGTTTTCATTTATTGAAGAGTTATTAATATTTTAAAAATGATGGATTCTAATCTGCGATAATCATATAAAAATTTTAAATTGTTAATTGCAAGAACATTCTCTAAATTGCTGTTGTGCAAAAATGTTCAGCATTCCTATCCACTGCATTTTTATTTCAAAAATAATGAAATCCTAATTCAAAATTATTTAATTACAAAATTCAATTACAAATTTTTATTTAATATTAGTACAAGAAAATATTAAGTAATTATTCTGTTTTTTTTAAATCAAAGAGTACTATAAAAAAATTCTATGAGCAATTCAGTGCTCCATTACTAAATTTATATTGGAAATTGTTAAGCATATGTTTATTTTTTATCTTTTGTAATAAAATTTGCCTTTGTTATACTTAAGCTGTTTAAATTATTCCTTTTTTTTAGTGTGTTCTTTACCCTTTCTAAAGTAGACTGTTTTAAATTTTTGTCGATATTTGTTTTTGCCCACTACAAAGCCTGAACCTGAAATACTGTTTCATCTAATTATGATACATTGAGTAGACAATGACATTTGTGTTTAAGCAGTTAAACCATTTACAGCTTTGCATCTTTAAAATCTACATTTAGCATAATTGGAAAGTTATAGACTTACAAGTTATGGCTTAATTCCCCTTGTATGTAAAATCAATTATAAAGTTTCAATATATCATATTCTAACACATTTTAATATATATTTTTTATTTATTATAGCTCGTGAAGTGTTCAGTCTGTTGAAGAGTCCACAGTACATGCATGAAGGTCTTTCAGTAAATTGTAGTTTCTTTGAAATATACAGTGGAAAAGTAAGTGAACAGTTTTGAAGGGCAAACCTGTCTGAAAGTTATATCTTTTAAGAAATAATTCAAAAGAATTCAGTCTGTTAGAATGCTTTTTGTCTTTTGAGATGAAATTTATATAAATAGTTTTAAATTGCAATACTGAATTATTATTATTATTTTTTTTTAATTTCCTCCCATTTTTAATTTTTATAATTCAATATCAATCCCAGAGTAAGTAACAGCCAAATTCCAACATTTAACTATAGTAACCAAAGTTTTCTAAAGATTTTTTAAAATTTTTTCAATGATAATAAATTTTATTAGTTTACTATTCTCGAGGTTTTTGTTTAATGTTTATATTCATAATATCAGAGTTGATGGGGAATATACATAAAATTTTTTTTAATGATTCTTGTATGCACACTATTTTTTAATTTAAATAATTATCATTATTCAGAAAGTGGTTCACTTGTCTTAATCTTGTAAACATAATTGCTTGTAGCAACGATCAGTAGAAAAACATTTTTGAAGATATTATTTTGTACAGTTGTACAGATTTTTTATTCCAGTTGTCACTATTTTATAGTCTGGTTATGCCTCCTAGTTCAAACTTTGTGTTAATTAAAAGAATATTTTCTTCGTTTTTTTTTTTTTTTTAAACTTTTAAGCAGTTTTTCATTATGATTTCTATTTAATAGGTATTTGATCTCTTCAATAATAAATCAAAGTTGAGAGTTCTAGAGGATGGCAAGCAGCAAGTTCAAATTGTAGGCTTAAGAGAAAGAGTAGTCCATTCTGTTGAAAATGTACTAGAGCTAATAACTCATGGAAATAGTGTAAGGTACGTATGTCTTGCTTCAAAATATTTTCTCTCTTTATATATATGCAAAAATAATTATTACAGTTTTTTTTAAAAATTTTTTTTAAAAGAACCTTAAAACTGTTAAATCAAAAATGTTAAATTCTAACAAGATTTTAGAAAATCTATAGTTAATTTCATATTGTGTGGATATTCTTGTTTACCCTTTTGTTTACTGCATTTAGTACATATAGTATGTCATTCTGGTCCACCTGCTGTACCAGGCTTAAGCAAAAGGTTATAAACTGAACCAGAATGAACATTATTGCTTTTATAGAATATACAATTAAAATAGTCTGGAAATTTAATCTTAAACGTTTATAAAAAAAATTTTTAAGCATAAATAGCAAGTTCCTATTATCAATGTTAAATAATTTATTGGCAGATGAAAATAAAGGGATTTGGTAAGTCTGTAAAGATTAATATCTAAGTGGATTAAATTTAAATTGATAGAGCACATAGCATTATTTAAAGGTGCTTATTTTCTTTTTTTTAAAGTCCTTAAAAGTGCTTTTTTCATTGGGTGTTTTTAAAAAGTGCGTAATTTTCCCTTTTCCAAAATGAGATTTTTTCTTTACCGTGTTGATTTCAGCAACGAATTATGCAAAAAGCGTGGTTTCATATTTTTCTATTCAACGTTTTCACAATCCTTTTTGGCATACCGTCAGTTCGTAGCGTTTGGGAGTGCCAATCATTTTATATGTTCGATGAAATACTTGTGGGTTTGCACAATTTCGTTTGCTGCATTTTGCAATAGATTCTAAATTTCAGGCATTATAAGCCCTTTAAAATCTAATCGAAAAATTTCTTGAGTCTTCGCTGATCACAGGGACCAATTAAACATTGCCGATTTCCCCCCCTATCAGCAAAAGAATATTTTATTTCTCTTGTTAATTTCATTGTTGGTAAAGCACAGTCTTTATCTCCATTAGAAAGAAAACATTTAAGTCCTTAAAATGTGCTTTAAAGATGTTAATTTTTTGTTGAAGCATTTGCCTAGGCACCCTGATTGACTTTTAATACATTGAATTGATGTTCATTACATTAACTCTGAATTATTGTGTAAGTTTATTTTCCTCAATTGTAGGACTTCTGGACAAACTTCAGCGAATCAACATTCCTCTAGGTCTCATGCAGTCTTTCAAATAATATTAAAGAAGTAAAATTATTTATTAATTTTTATAATAAAGCGACTCTTTACACTTGCTTGCTTATAGATTTAAATTACTTTAATAATAATTTTTTTATCCATATAAGGCCTAATGGACGATTGCATGGGAAGTTCTCTCTAATTGATTTAGCTGGCAATGAACGTGGTGCTGACACATCCAGCGCAAATAGGCAGACGCGAATAGAAGGTGCTGAAATCAGTAAAAGTTTACTTGCATTAAAAGTAGGTTTTTCATTTAATGTAGTATAATTATTTTAAGATGTGGTTTTTCCTAAGAATGATATATTCAAAGTTTTATGGCCAGGAATAATATCTAAATACTTGAATTTCACATATTTGTGCAGTGAGAAAACTTCAAAAATTTATTTTTTTAATGCTAAGTTTTTAAGTTAGGTGAACTCATTACTCAAACAAATCTTTTCTGATTGACTTCACATTTAAATTGTTTATTCGAAAATATATTCTTAACAAAAATAAAAAGTATAAATTATTTATTTAACTTAAAAAAATAAAATTAAAATGAATTTAAAGTACTTTAGTTTTCCGCTGTTTCATTCAAGTATCAGAAATTTTTTAGCCTAAATTCGAAATTTTAATATTTGTTTAGATTATAGTGTTATAAAATCAGTGTCTCATATTAAAAATCCTGTGAATTGTATACATTAAATTCCTGTTGTATTCAAACATAGCAAAAGTAAGACTTATTAAAGTTCCATTTTTTATACCAATACCAAATTCTTATTTTAATGCCTATTTTTGTGACATTTTTGATAAAATGCTAAACTTTATATGAAATATATTTTTAATGATTGAAAATTAAAGTAAAATGCTGAACTAAAAGATTATTTTAAGTTCCTGACAGATAAAGCATATATTTAAATGCCTTGATTTACATTTTCTTTTTCAAAATTAATTTCTAGTTTGATATGGAAAATTATAGTAATTCATTAATTTGTAATATTTTTAATTACAGGGTGTAAATGATTTTAATCAAATGATTAAAATCACGATTTAAATCAAATGATTTTTTAAAAAAATCACTGATTTTAATAAATAAAAAAACAATCTTAAAGATACACTAGATTTACAAGTACCCAAATTCTTTTTTTCCTCCAACATACCTTTTCGATCTGTTGAAAATCCACATTTTCTTAAGCTATAGCAAATGCTAAGACCTGGGTATAAACTCCCGAGTAAAATTGATTTAGGCAATCGTCTCTTAAATGCTGTTCATGAACATGAGATAGAAAAGATTACTGGTGAATTATCTGAACAAACGGTATGTATGTCAGTGGATGGTTGGTCTAATATACACAATCAACCATTACTTTGTGCATGTGTTACTACTATGGAAGGTAATACTTATTTAGTAGACACAATCGACACATCCTTAACATCACATACTAGCCAAAATTTAGCTGCTGCTGTTACACAAACAATAATAAATGTAGAAAAAAAATTTAAATGCCGTGTACGTAGCTTTGTTACTGATAATGCTTCAAATATGGCAAAAATGAGGGACGAATTAAATGCAAAATTTGATATAATATCATATGGCTGTTCAGCTCATTTGCTCAATCTTTTGGCAAAAGATTTGCAAGATTCCATGCCTAATGTAACAGAACATGTTTTACAAGTTATAACATATTTCCGAAATCATCAAATAATTAGAGCTAAATACAATGAGCTTAAAGGTACTGGATTAATTCGGCCAACTGAAGTGCGCTGGAATTCTATGTGTGATTCATTAGAAAGCTACATCAAGAATTGGTCAACTTTCATGCAAGTTTGTGAGGATAATAGGGATGATATCGACACCAATATCAGGTCAAAAGTCATGAATATGGCAATTAAAAGAAATGCAGAAGATATGCTTTTAATGTTAAAACCCATTTCTGTAGCATTAGATAAAATGCAAAAAGATAATTGTAGTTTATCAAATGTTGTCAACATCTGGAAAAATTTAAAGGAAACTCTGAAAGATTCTAATAATAATTGCTGCAAAAATTTTTTTACTAAACGATATGAACAAGCGTTAACACCAGCTCATTTCCTAGCTTACCTCTTGGATCCTAATTCTGAAGTACAATGTTTAACACTAAATGAAAAAGATCAAGCTGTAAACTTTGTTAAAGAAAAGTATGGAGAAACCTCCTTATTAAGTATTTTGCTAAAATTCATTGTACGCTCTCCTCCGTTTAATGGAACTTTGTTTGATAAAGAATCTCTAGAATCTTTAAACATCTTGGAATGGTGGAAATCAATTGCGCTTCTAAAGAACTGTGTAGGTCAAAAAGAGTTTGATGCAATACAGTTGTTATGTACTGCAAAAGGAACAACTGCAGGGATAGAGAGGATGTTTTCCACTTTTGGACTTGTACATACTAAACTACGGAATCAATTGGGTGTAGAAAAGGCAGCTAAATTAGTCCTTATGTTTAAATCTTTAAATAAAACTAATTAAATGATTGTTTAAATAATTTGATATTGTAGATGTAGAATTAATAATTATCACATATTGTTTGATAAACAATTTCTTTCTTGATTTGTAGTTTGAAATCACTTTGTTATTGTTTATTTCTTATTTCACCTTTTGCTTTTAAATTATTAAGAAATATTTTGTTGATAATGGTTAGTAATGTTTATTTCCAATGTATACCATAAGTAACAATAGTAATACAATACAACTTTAAATCTATGGTACACAAAATTGATTATATTCCATAGAATTGAAATTATAAAAAAAATCATGATTAAAATCAAAAAAATCCGATTAAAATCAGAAAAATCCGATTAAAATCAGAGAAATCCGATTTTTTTGATTTTTTAAAAAAAATCATGATTTTTATACACCCTGCTTGAAATATGATTTAACTTAATTGAAATATTAATTGTTTGCGAAATAGGACAAAAGCCTGTGCATAATGTAAAACGTGAAATAATTTTAATATTTGAGTGCTGAGAGATCACATAAAACTTTAATATCAACTGTCCTACTCAATGATATATTAGTATTATCTTACTTTTTTTTCTCCAATTTTTATTCATGTTTTTAAGGAGTGCATAAGAGCCCTAGGTAGGAAAGGTGCCCATCTACCATTCCGTGCTAGCAAATTAACTCAGGTTCTCAAAGATTCTTTTATTGGAGAAGACTCTCGAACGTGTATGGTAAGCTTTAATTGTATTTTACCAGAGTTCAAATCTTGACTAATCTATAGAAATTACTAAAAATTTTACATTATCTGCAGGGGTCTGTTTAAAAGAAATTTGAGTCCGTTAACGGACCCTTCACAAAATATCTTTTCATAAAAACTGACCCTTCACAAAATATTTTAACTTGAAAACGGACCCTTAACAAAATAATTTATCTTTTAATCAGACCCTTCACAAATTTGTTTATCTTCATTATTGTTTTGTTAATCGAATAAACCCTTCCCAGGAAGGGGTAGAAAGAAAGACATATGTAAACAAACTAAGTTATGTCTTCGGCAGACTCTTCTTGTACGAAATTATATTCTGCATTCAGCAGCATAGGCCAAATACCAAATATTAGTATGTTGCATCTCTAATTCAGTAGCAGCAATTGCTGTTTATTTTTTAAAATTTTTTTTTTTAATTTTACAGTGTTGAACTTAATCTGGTATGTCTTTACAATTTAAAAACTCCTTGAAAAAGTTTTTTGCAATAACAGGACTCTATTTGCACAAATTCACAAAAGCCAGACTCTGGTTGAAAGAATGTGACTTAGGTTTATTTTATATTCACAAATTACGAGTAATTTTTTTTTACAATTTTACAGAAACGAACCTTTCACAAAATTTCTGGACAGACCCCTAATCTGTGAAATGAAAAAAAAAAAATTTAGGAAAAAATGCAACATATTTTTAATTAAAGAGCTTCAATTTTCTTTTTATTTTCTAGATTGCAATGATTTCTCCTGGTATGAACTCTTGTGAACATTCCTTAACCCACTGGCGGTTAAGGAAATGGGCAAAATTGGGAGAATGTTTCTCCCCTACACACAGTTCCCCTATCTATTAACATGGGAAAACCGGTTTTGCTATGCAGAGACTGCAGGTTAAAATGCGACTTTTTACGTGCAGAACCGTCAGTGGGTTAAACACTCTTCGCTATGCTGATCGGTGAGACTACAAGCTTTATAATAATGTGATTTATTAAAATATTTTTGATTTCATTTTGATAATGAATGTTTTATTTTTTAGAGTTAAAGAATTAGGTGCTGAAAATCCAGAATTAAAAAATTGTAATGGTGATGAGCAAAACAATCAAAATGATGATCTTGCCCTTCTCTGTTCTGCTAATGTAAGTATTGTTAAATAATATTAAAAATAAAAATTTAAATTGTTAAATTTTGAATTGTAATTTAATTTTTTAGGAGGATTTTTGTTTTTTGTGAATCTTGTTTTACTTTGGAACAATCCTGTTTCAGATTTTTAAATAATGCTTTTATCAATAATTGCTAATAACATTACAGTATTTTTTTTATCATTGCAAACATTAGAATAAAAATTTAAAAAATCTGTTTTAGTCTTCATATCTCAGTGTGAGCTTACCTCTTTTACCAATTTATAGCAGCATTATAAATAATATCTTCAGTCTATTTACAGTTTTTTCTTCAGTGAGAAAAAAAATTAAGTAGATAAGAGGACTTTTCCTAAAATTATTGTATGCTTTTTTATCTTCGAAATATAGTTAAAGTAAAAAAAGAAAAAAATCAATATATACCAGTTGTGTGAGTTTTTTTTTAATATTTAATTTGCTTGGTCTGTGATTTCTTCCGCTAACAATTTGAGTCCTAGTGATCCTCTTAGAGTACTCTGATTATTAAGTCAAAAGTTATCTAGGATGATTATTATTTTTTTTTTTTGCCTATACCTTATTCACTTTAAAATTACGTGAAATATTATTTTGAATTCCAATCTTATTTCATAGGAAGGCGAACTTTCTGCAGATCTTTATTCATTTCATGAGGCTATTTCTCATGTACAAGAAATGGAAGAAGAGGTCCTAGATTCTCATAAAGCTGTGATAGAAGTATGTGGTTTCATTTTAATAATTATAGTTGTAAAAAATCTTTAGTTTTTAACTTAAACATTATAGTTTTTGTGTGTTATAAAATTACTTACAATTCGATGGTATATTAAAAAATTCATTTGTTTAGCTTTGTTGTGTAATATTTATTTTCCTTTTTCTATAAAAGAGCCTAAGGATTTATAAGACCCTTAAATATGGATATTTACTATTTTAAGAAAATCTTTATAAACTTCTGCAGCAATAGCAATATAAATAACTACTCTGTACTTCAATCATTAGCCAGTTATACAAATATTAGCTTTTTTTTAATGTGCTGAGCATATTTTAGCAAGGCTGCATACTACAGCATAATTAGGAAAACACTTGTTCTGCAATTTATCAAAAACTATAACTTTATTTAGTGAAACAAAAAACATATAAATATGAAAATCACTTTCATTACCAAAATAAGTATCCTGCCTAAATAAGTATATAAGTAATGTACAGTAAAAAATTAAAATATGTGTGTAAACAATAATAAATTAACAATAAATGCATATGAAATTCAGTACAAGGTTGCATAAAAAGAAAGAAAACTATGCTTACTGCATATTTTATGAATTTCATACCTGCCAAGTCTCCTTTTTTTTAATGAAGACTCCTGAATTTTGCGATTCTCTCCTGTTTACCTGTATATTCTCAAATATCTCTATTTGAAGAAATTTTTTAAAAAATCTTTTGGCGATAAAATATTAGCTGATGGCAAAAATATTTCTCTTATTCCTCAACAGATAGTACTATTGCCAGTACTGCAGTATCTTGAGTGTTAATAGTTTAATTATAAATAATGGTTTAAAAAAATCTTCTTTAGATTAAGATTAATATACATATTTTTTACTTCGCTAAATGTAAGTGCCTATATTGTTTCCAATTTTGAATTTCTCTTTTTGACCAACATGATGTATCAAGAACTTTACTCATAGCCTAAAAAAATTTCGTTAGTAAAATCTCCATTATTTTATTTCTGAAATGCTGGCAGGTATGGAGTTTTTAAAAATAAAGGCATTTTGGTTTTGATCCATATTAGGAGACAAAATAAAATCTCTTCAATAGGATTATTTCCACCCCTGTTATTTATTTCCAAAGATACTTAAACTTAAATATTTTATGGAATTTTCGTGTAAACAAATTAAATCTTTTCTTCTAGGCTTCTGAAAAGTGGTTCAATCGTGACAACTTATTGCTTGCTATGTCCAATGATGTTGATTATGATGTTGACTGTGAGTATTGTATTTTGTTTAAGTTTAAATTGCCTAGTTCATTATGAAATAAAATTTATTTTATTGTTATTTGCATATGTTTTGTCTAAAAATATCAAGTTATATTTGGCTGTTCAGTGTTTTCATCGCAGAAAAAAAATGGGTGAGAATTTCTCACCCTTTCTCAAAAACAGGGTGAGATTTCAAAAAGTTAAGTGAGATATCTAAAAACTAAAAAAAAAAACACTAAGAGACTTGAAAAAAAAATCCTTTCTTTAATTATAATACATTTTTAACATCTTCTAATTTTTAAAGCATTGAATATTTTTTTTTTTGCATCATCATATGGAAAATGTTCTACATCTACTTTTTTTATCAGCTATTCTCATTAGGTTGCTCAAATGCGTGTTTGTTTCATTTTGATCGTTTCTACCCACATTTGTTTCATTTTCATTTATCCGTTTCAGAGTAGAAGGCATTGCCTTTACAAGGTATTTGTCCATCTTACAATATTGAGCAAAAAATTTTAACTTCTAACATGGAGAAACCTTACCTACGGTAAACACGTGGTTGCAGAGAAATGCGTTCTGAGAGAGGTTCCGAGGGATGGTGTTCTGTTGTTCTTAAAGGTTCTGAACAATTCTGGTAAATAGGAAAGCTAGATAATGGGGCAGATGTTGAAAATAATGAAAGATCCAGGAAGAAAAGTGAAACAGATTTCATTCTAAATGGCGCAATGAGAAATTTTTTTCAAAATGCAAGAAATTCGCGAATTTTGAAATTGCTTTATAGAATGCGCGAATTTCTCGCGGTAATCATTTTTTAATGCGAGAAAAGAAAAAAATATGCGAGATTCTCGCGTTCTCGCGCTGTAGTGAAAACACTGCTGTTTACTATAGCTCTTTTGGGTAGGAAAATAAATAGCCACTATTTCTGTACCCTTAAGTTAGATTCTGTTGTGTACTATTTGGTGATGAGAACCATTAAAATAAATGAATAATTCCTTTTTTTTTTTTTTTTGTAGATTGAGGGATCTAGGCAATGCAGCTCTAAAATAAAATGTTTAAAAAAATTTATTTCAAATACTTGTGTTTTTAAAAAACTGGTTTTTCTTTATACTGAATTTTTTTTATCACTTTCATAACCAGCCTGGAGGTTGCTGACTAGGTGGAACAAAATTTGATTTAACATACAGGAATAGCTGTTTCAAACTCACAACAGTTATAAAAGCAACACATTGTTAGCTAAAGAACTTTATTTCATGTGACGAGGGAGCCTTCAAAAAGAGCCTTTATCTTTTATTGTGCCATTGTTTTAATAATGTGTTGAAATATTTTTGAGATCTATTTATAGAAAGAAATTCATTTAGCTTGAAACTTAAAATTATTATTGTTTTGGGAAGGTTTTCAAAATATTGCTTAATATAAAAAATTGGACATAAACTTAAACTTCTGTGCTTAAAACATGTAATTTTATACATAATTACTGCTTTATGATTATTGATCAAATGCACAACACATTAGGGAAAACAGCTTTCCTATTGTTGGCCTCTCTTCTCAATCACACGCTAACCTTTACTGTTATTCACATTTATGTAAACAAATCTCTTCATTGTTATTTTTTCTTCTTGTATTTTTTGAAGTTATATGCTGATAGCCACACAAACCATGAAAATACCTTCCCACTGGCATTTAAAAATTAATGAAGTTAGTGGCAAATATACTTTCCACAGCCTTTCGAAGAGTTAACTAAGTTACTTTTTTAAGTAACATGTTTTATCGTATGAACTTTTTAACAAGCTTTTAATAACTTAGATACTGAAAGGGGGATAAAAAAAGGAGATAGTATTGTAATTTTCTGCCTATATTTCAAAGAAACT